GGTACTAGGTCCCCACTGGTCATCCGGATCCTGTCCTTCAGATAAGGAAGGAGAACCACTCCTCGCAGAAGACGAAATCTCTTTTCTGCCCCTCTTCTTGGGCCGTTCTAAGAGTTTGCCCGAGGGGGAGAAGTAGGGTCCTTCCTCCGACGAAGAAGAAATAGAAAAGGCGGGGTTTCCACCCCCTTCCCCGGAAGGCACTTTTTGGCCGAAGGGGTCAGGAGAATGGGCAGACATTATCGAATTGAAGAACAAGGCAGGAGTAATAAGAGATGGGGGAGAGAAGCAGTACCTTGACCGGGGAAAGGAGTAGGCTTGAGGAGAAGGAAATTCTGTCTCAGAGAATAAAATCACCAGAAAGCAAATGGGAGGAAGAACGTGTAGGGGGAAAGGAAAAAAATTTTTACAAGTTAGACAAGCTGGGTATTTATAGGGAAGGAGATGAAAGGAAATTAAATCCCAGCCACCCATTCGGACGAACAGGATCAAAAGATGCCGCCTCGAACTCAGCGCAAAAAGCGCCGATTGAAATCCCCTCATTATGACCTGGGGCACTCGAATCGACCGCATTGATTGATAGGACGGCCAGAGGCGGGACGCACGTTTCCCCATCAAAAGTAGCAGTTAAAAACGAGCTATTACTTCGCACCGCATACTCCATACTTATCAAACGAAATAACACAAAGTCTTTTCGTCCGATAATTAAGGAGTAGGGGGGAGTAGTTGATACGGGCCATTATGGAAAGATTAAATAACCTTAAGCCCACAATGGTAGGCCCATGGTAACTTAGCCCAGTAAGGCGGAAGAGGTCGTTAGGTCGTACGACCTCAGCGACGAAATGGGGCACTTTAGCCCGCAGGCCCAGTACCAGCTCGGGGTAAAACGAGCCCAGGATAATTGGAGGCCCAAAACGTGTGACTTGAGAGTAGAATGAAACCCTAAAAAGGAAACCTTGGAGGCCAAGGTTTCCTCATCTATAAATAGAAGGATCTTCAAACACACAAAAAAGGTTAATCACTACTTTTACACCATATACTCTTTTTTTCCTATTTCCGATCACTGACTTGATCGTCGGAGCTTTCCCGCCGGGAACCCCCCCGGCGTTGCAGGTATTCTCACCGGAGTTCAGACCAAGCTGCCTTGAAGAAGACGTAAGCCTTACGAACCAAATCAAAGTCAATTAATATGAAATTATTGGAGAGTTTCCTTCCAACGCGTGCTTTGACTACTCATACACAGCCAAAAACAATGCAAAGTGAAAACACTTTTTAATAATTGTTTGCCAATTATTGTGTCAAAATAAACTCTCGAGAAATATTGAAAACTTGACCGCCGTCATTACACATTAAACAGTGTCAATAACCACGTAATTATGTTGCATGATTATATCATTTGCATTAGAGACAACTCAGGAAGATGATGTTCAGTGTTAGTAACAAAAGATCTAACAACTTCAAATTTCGATACTGAAACAAAATTCAAACGTCTTAAACCTAACAAATTCAGATTAAAGATATGTTACGAGCGATTAGAATTTATTTTAACAAAAAAATTAAAAAATAAATAAATAAATTTAGAACCTATTTTTAGAAAATTAGATATCACATCACACTGAGTTTACAAGCTACAAATATGTAATAGGATCTATTGTTTAAGCGAAAAACCAAATACATGTCCTCATACAGAAATCTTCCTAAAAAAGTTGGCATATCTTAAAATTCAAACAAAGCAATAAACAGAACGGGTTCACAGAAATTAGCAGATAATTTACACACACACGGAGTTCATGAACATATTAGTATAAAAAAGTTTTCATAAGCTTGATTTTCTAAAGGAAGAATGAGAGTAAAGTAACTGAAAAAACCCATTATCTACCTATGTCTGTACCCAAATATCCAGGATTGCTAGAAGAAGAGGAGACTTACGAAACTGCAAAAAATATGGATCCGCAATTATACCGAGCAACAACCGAAGGCGACATTCTTGAATTTGTGAGAGCAATGGAAGAAGGAACACTCGACCGACACCACAGCCCACCAGCTTCTTGTGTGCAGTTAGGCCCTCAAAAGAACACTGTTCTGCACATAGCAACAAACTTTGCTCGTCACGAAATTGTTAAACTTATCTGCAAGGACATATCTTTCTTTGTCGCTGAAAAAAATGCAAAAGGCGACATCGCACTCCATATATCTGCAAGAGCTGGCGATTCACTGCTCGTCACTTTGTTGGTTAATTCAGATTTCAAAGAAGGAGCCTCGATGAGAAGAACGAAGAAGGAAATACTCCATATAAACTGAAAGGATTTCAGAATAATCCTAGACATTGAACAGTTTTATACTCTTCACTATATAGTCAGGACATTATATAGTCGACAATAGGATGTCTGAAAATCTGTGTAAACCAGAGAATAGTGTGCCTAAATCCATATTTGTATAAAAATAAATTGCAAGCATGTTTTACGATGATAAATTGCAAACATGTTTTACGATGAGATGCAAAAGATATAACAATTAATCATTCTTGCAGAAACTAATGTTAAATCAGAAGAAACTTACAGTGTTCATGTTCTCAGAATGTAAGTCTTCGCAAAGTGCTCCTGCTTTGCGCTTCTGATCCCTGCAGAAACTAATGTTAAATAACAGGTTTTTAATATCAAGATTATTACACACACAGAAACATAGTATATACATCGAGATATTGATCCTCCATCGAATTATTGGTTAGCTACTCTCCCGTATAAACAGTAGTTGTGGTACCAACAAATGTTTTCGATGAACAGATTAGAATTGGATACATGATTAAAACAGTGATGTGTATGAAATTGATAATCACTCAGATATCAATCACCAAAACATTAGGCATTCACTGTGCACAGTAATACAATAAAAGTTCATGCAGATATACAGAGAAAAATGAAAAAACATTATGGGAAAAGATTAACCAAAGTACAATGAGCATTAATAAGAAAAATTGCAGAGACTTTTAAGAGTTGAAAGGTTACAAACCTCATATCTCGTACGATATTGAATCTGAGGAGGGCACAGTCACCAAATGCGTCCAAACAGCAGTAGTACAACATCTAAATCAAAATCCAACAGGTTTTATTTTTCTTCATACCTAATTTGATTCTAGAAGTTGACAATAGTTATACAGAAAAATTCTTCTTCTCTTCCTCTCTCTCCCTCTCTCTAAGTTTCTATCGCCAAAAAAAAAACAAATCTCCGATGGCGGCGTCGAAGAAGAAGCCGAAGGCTGGCAAGAAGCTCCCCAAGGACATCGGAAAGGCGGCCATCGGCGGAGAAAAGAAGAAGAGGACGAAGAAGAACGTGAAGACAAACAAGATCTACATCTTTAAGGTAATTCGTTTTATTTTTCCCCTGTTGTCCAGTTGTTTTTATTAAATCCTAATCGTTTGCTTAATATTTTTTTTGTGTTTGCATAAATTAAAAATCAAAACAAATTGGGATGCATTATGCATAGGTCAATGGAATTACCAAAAGTTTTATATGTTCACAACCTTGTTTATCCCATGTGCACTCTTTTTGTTTCTCGATGAATATTGAAGTTTCAGTTTTTTTTTTAAACAAAAAGAGAGAGAGAGAAGCTTGATGATGTTATATTGATAATCGGTGGAAGTTTGCATTTTTTTAATATATATAAAATTTGAGGAATGTAGCACAGAGTGTTACAATAGAGGATTATTATGTGAACATGAACTTGTAAAGGGAACTGATTTTGATTTGTACATTTGAACGTATATTAATAATAATTTATGTATTTCGAATTTGATTGTGTTATTGCAGTTAATGATAATTGTTGATTTTTTGTCACAGGTCTCGGTGTTTGAACAACTTCTATGTACGAAGTATTTATTGAGAGACATGGTGTTCGTCAAATTAAATTATTATTTTTTTGCAACTGATAAATCGGAGTTATTGTCGTATTGAAAAGTGAGATTTGAAGCTATATACCACAAACTACACTATATATGACTATACTCGTATAGTCACATGTGGTCATATACATGTAGTCATATATAGTCACATGTAGTCATAAACATATAGTCATATATAATCACATGTGGTCATATAAATATAGTCATATATAGTTACATGTAGTCATATACATATAGTCATATATAGTCACATGTCGTAACATGTAGTGATATATAATTATATATAAACTATGTGTTTTTTCTGATGTATAGTGATGTTGATGATCGTGTATATCCATGTTTTTGTTCGGTACTAATTGATTATGATGATTTGTTCTTTGTTGAAGAACATATGCATGTGATTGTGTATTTCGATCTATATTTGTACAAGTTAATTTATGATATCAAAATTTAAATTGTGATTTTTGTTGTTGGTGTCGGTGAAGTTATTTTTAGTATATAATACTCTGGGGTGAAGAGAAGGTACAAGACAATATATATAACTTTGGAGGAAAAAGAATGTAGATATTATATATAACTTTTTTTTTTTTTTTAAATTAATAAAACAAAAAAATTAACAAAACAAAAATTTAAAATTTAAAAATTAAAAAAATTAAAAAAATAATAATTAAAATTAATTTAAAAAAATAAAAATAAATAAAATAAAAATTTATAATATTTTATTGAAAAATCTGAAAAATGATAAATGCAGGTCCAAAAGTACTGAATGCAATTTCCTATTGGCTAAATGCAGTTGGAGAAATGCTGAATGTAGTTGGGCGAAAATTACAAATAAGTGCACAATAGTACTTTTGCCTCTCCAGGGATTATCTCAAAGAATGATTTTTAGGGGTAGACTTATCCCTATATATTTTTCAATAATATTAATTAAGTGTTTTTAATTAACAAAAGGTAATTTGGATTTATTTAAAACATGTAAAATAAAATTGGGCTTAGTCTAATGATACTTGTGTAATGGAGGGATTTTGTCTAATTTTCCCTTAAAAGATTGGCCCAATTTACTACATTGACCCCCAATTCCAGTCGGCAGTCGCAGTTAATCAATCAAAAAAAATAAAAAAAGAATTGGAAGTCTCTGTTGGGAAACCCCAAGAGCAGGAGGGGCAGACGATGGAATCGTCGAAGTGGGAGATGGTGGAACTGCAAAGAAATTCAGGAAACTGGAGAGAAGTTGTGGAAGAAATAGTGAGGATAGAGAAACGTGTTTTCCCAAAGCACGAGTCTCTTTCCAAATCATTCGAAGATGAAATTAAAAAGAAGCACACCGGTTTGCTTTACACTCGAATTGGAGATGAAGTTGCTGCTTATCTCATGTTTTCTTCCACCTCCTCACTCTGCGCTTCTATTACCAAACTTGCAGGTTTTTTCTACATTTTATTTCTTTTGGAGTTTTGTGCTTTATATGAACTTTGCTTATTGCCTATTCACCTACCTCGGTGGCAAAGGGTTTCTATCTACATATTTGTCTCTCTAAATTGAATGTTATCTGTCCTTTTATATCAAGGTCATAAATAATAGAACTGGGAATTTTATTGCAATTTTTACATCTGACAAACACATTGGCAAGAAGTTAATTCGGGAGGGAGACGGGGCGAAAACTTTGTTAGTAAGTTATTTAGGTCCAAAACGAATGCGGGAGACGGGGCGAAAGAAAACTGCTCAAATATATGTATTTCCGAACATTCTGATATCCGCTACCTCAAAAGCTGAACATTAATTGCTTTGGGTGAGTGAGATGAGAGGGTAATTAATTAGAGATTGTTCTTCTGCTAAACCTGTTTAACAGATCTTATGAGGGAGGTTCTATATTTTACCAACATCTTCTTATATCTTATCAAAAATCTTATAAGATGTTTTACGGAGCTTATGATATTAGTCATACATCCTCTTTATCATATTAATTTGGTGAAATTAGAAAACTTCAACTTCTTCGTTTCTGTTAAACATCAGTCCGTAACCTGCACTTAGTTTATGGTGTTTTTCTCTGAATGGTAAAACTCTTATTTCTCTAATGATTTTTTTTTTTTCCGGATGTTTTTGGAATATGGAATATAGTAAAAGAAAAGTACAGGAGGCAGGGTCACGGGGAAGAATTGCTTAAAGCAGCAATAGAGAAATGTAAAAGTAGAAACATAAGCCGAGTGTCACTTCATGTAGATCCACTGAGGATCGAGGCTACAAATCTCTACAAGAAACTCGGTTTCCAGGTCGATACTTTGGTAGAACGCTACTACTCCTCAGATAGAGATGCCTATAGAATGTACTTGGATTTTGACTAAGTGGTTTACACAAACTTCATAAGGAGGACAAAGGATTCAGTTCGACTTTGAATTCAGTAAAATTTTACTATAGCCTGTTTTGCCTCCGTATCTTCATTTATCTTCCAGAATATGTTTGGATAACTTGCTAGTTGATACCATCATCTTGTAGTAATGGTTTTCTCTAAAGAATATTAACACAGGCTACTGTTTTCACTTTTCATGGCTGTAGCTATATTATGGAAGACATGACTAACGCTGTGACTTAGTTGGTATCAGTTGTCCAAAAATCAATTGGTGTTAATAAAATATGCATACGGTAATGTTAACACAACAAAATGTCACGACGTTTGACGTTAATATCTTCACCCTTTTATTATTGCCTTTTCACTTCTCGATTGCGTTCTCAGGGAAAATAGCGTGTCGAACTTGATTGTTACTGCAGAAATTGTATTTGGAGAATGTGTAGAGTTCATTTGTTTTTTTGGATAATTCGCATTCACCTCTCAGTCTAGCCATTTGTCAATTCAATTCCAAGCATTTAAACTTTGACAAACTAGCCTTTACGCTTGCGTTGCATGGGGTATTCATCGTAAACATAAATATATGATTTTAAAAAGTTCTCGGAATAGTAAGATCAATGGTTGATGTACAATATAAAATAAAAAAATATATATATATATATTCTTTGTAAGTAATTAATTAAGCCAAAATACGTGAAAAGCGCTAAATAGGTTTAATTTCCGTATACAAAAGGCGAATACATCGTTACCATCACTATTACTATCACCAATACCAATACCAATATCATTACCAATATCAATACCAATACCAATACCAATACCAACACCATTATCATTACCATTACCATTATCATTATTGATACCAATACTGATATAAATACCATTACCAATATCGTTACCACTACCATTACTAATACTGTTACCATTAACATTGTTAATACTAATAGTGATATAGTAATATTAATACTAATCTGATAATAAACTATTATTATTAGTAACTGATATGCTAAATCCCACACCAATTTTACTAAATCATACACACAATTGAATTTTTCTCTCTCTCTCTAAAATCTCATCTTCTCCTTCCTCACCCTTCTTCTTTTTCCATAACATTTTCACAAAACCACACACTAAAAACGTCCATATTATTCCAAGTTCAATTTTGAGAAAAATCTTCATGTGTTCAAACTAAAATGAAGTTGGAATTTGAGATTTTTTTTTGAATTGATATGAATTTAAATAATTAAAGAGGCATAATGAAATTGAAAAATATTAAATAAACCTAAACTCACTTTTTATGATTATTCACGTGAAAGATTAACGAATTTTGAGTGACTTGGAAAAAATCATCATAGAAAAAAGTTAGAAAGAATATAAGTAGAAAGATATTTTTTTTTTAAATTATGTGTGGGATTTAGTAAATTTTAGTGTGGGATTTAGCATGCCCCTATTAGTAATCCCAATGAAAATCCTAATCATAATGCTAACGCTAATTCTAATTTCCTAACACTAATGCTAATTCTAACCATAACCTAATCCTAGTACTGCACCCAATCAAAATTCTAATCATAATCCTAATACTAATGTTAATGTCGGAGACCGGTGGTCAACGCTGGGAATCGGCGGCGGCAAAAGCAAACAGAAAAAGAAAAAAAAAAAAGTCAAAGCCAGAAATCGGCGGCAAAAAAAATAGTTCAGAAAAAAAAAGTTTAAAAAAGACAAGTCAAAATTTTATTTTGTCAAAATTGATTAAATTGTGGTTACAATTAGAAATTGGGTTTAATGGGTTGGGGAAATTTTTTCATATACATTAATCTTGCATTTATTTATAATACATATTAAAAGGATGTGCTTATTGGCGAAAGAGATATAGCCCCTGAATCTAGAATAATAAAGATGGTTAGTCATAGACTTATCCATAAAAACCCCTTGATATTTAGGCTATGTTTGACAGAATTAAAACTAAACACTGAATGTTGAATGTATGGATGAACGGTTTAGACCAGTGTCTGAATGTTGAATGATGAATGTTTAAGTTTGTTTGATAACTAAAAATATATTGTATCTGAATAATATTGTTTTACTATATTAGCCTTCATAATTATCGAACACAATTTTACTTACCAACAAAACTATTGATAATATCTAAATAATAAAATGTAATTATGGCTCTTGTAATTGTTATATTATTATATTTCTTTCAACAAAAATAAATGTGTAAGTATGAACTATATATTTCTGAAAAATATATAAGTAAATTTTTCATTTCAATTTCACTAAAATATTTAGAGATAAAAGAAAAAATGGTGAGAAATTAAATTCCATGATACCATAGTGGAAGGAGAAATATGTGTGAACTCGTATATTTTCATTCTATAGCCCTCAATTTTTTTATTTTTTTTTTTTTTTTTTTTTTTTTTTTTAGTAATTCAAGTCATACAAGGGAAGTAGGGGAGGAGAGACTCGAACCCTAGACCTTTTTACCCTATTGGTAAGGCTACGTACCAAATCTCTTAATGAGGGTTGATCCTCAAAATTTTTTAATATATTAATTTATTGGGGCAATATGCCAAACACCCTTCATTGGGATTTTAATTCTTGATAAATCTTTTTTTTATAAATGATATTTGAGATAAATCCAATGGGCCTGAAAAACCATATATGCCCCCACTAAATATTAATTAGTATAATTATTTAATTTCTTAAAAAATATACCCATAATCTACACCCAAATCTTCTCCTAAAATTATTCACCTCATCACGCCAATTCAATTTTTTTTTCTTTTCTTTTTTATTTTGTTTAATGGTTTTCTTTATTTCGATTTAAAAGAAAATTTTGTAATTATTTTATTTTTTTTATTTTCGGTTTTTTTTTTAATTTTATTTTTTTCTTATTTATATTTATCATGTTTTTTATTTTAATTTAAAAACATGATTTTATTTTTATTTTCGTTTTTTCGTGGTTTTTCTTTTTTCTTAATTTCAAAAATTTTTAAATGATTTTTTTTTATTTCTAGTTTTTTAATTAAAAACCACTCTATATAAACATGAAAACCACTCTGTATAAACAACTATATAAACATGAAAATCACTATATATAACAACTATATAACATGAAAACCACTCTGTATAACGACTATGTAAACTTGAAAACCACTCTGTATAACAACTACGTCAACATAAAAACCAGTATGTATATAAAATTATATATAAATCTGTACAAAATTTATTGAAAACCACTATAAAATTGTTGAAAACCACTATAAATTATCAAAGACAAAGCCTGACATTATGAAAACCACTCCGTATAAACAGCTATATAAACATGAAAACCACTCTGTATAAAACAACTATATAAACATGAAAACCACTTTATATACACAACTATATAAACATCGAAAATCACTATGAATTCTAACAAGAACACATCAAAAATTATGCGAAAAAGAAGATATAAAACCACTATAAAGGACACTCCGTATATTTTACGGTTATTGCTCGTACAATCACCATTCTTGATGGCGCATTGTTGCTGATGTATCAAAAGAATTTTGCAGTAGCCGTCCACGAGCTGTGGTATTAAAACACATCAGACCAAGTTCAACTTCACACACATATACAGGAAATGAAAAATCGAAAATAAAAAATCTTATAAGTTAATTACGCCATTGGAAAGGCTCTCATTCTGAATGCAAGATAATAGGTTCAAATCACACAACAAAAAAAGAAACCACACAACATTCGTATCAACTGCACTTAATTCATAACCATACGACATTTTCAAAACCACATAATTCAAAACCACATAATTAAATTAGGCACAAATCACAACACCATACATGAAAACCCAAAAAAAGAGATACAACACAGACCATTAAGTGGTTTCAAATAACAATACAAACAAAATAACTTGGTTATAATATGTGCAGACTTTAGAGATATGTAATTCAGAACCACCTATAACTTTTTTTTTCGGTTTCAAATAGCCAGCACCCACATAACCTACTTAGCACAATAAAAATAATGAAAACCACTTAAGATAATACCATTGAACATAGTCAGGACATGTTCATAATTAACACATCGTCACCAGAAATTGACGACGACGACGAATCAGATCAAAACAACTCTCCGGATTACGAGCTCGAAGATTCTCTGAAGAAATTTTCAATTGCGACCAAGACGACGCCGTCAGAAAGCAGCATTCATGCTGAGGTTACGTTGAGGAGGCGTTGGCAGAAGTCGCCGGTGGCGACAATTACTCGTCGCCGGATTTTAAACGGCGGCTGATGGCTTGGTTGCGCAGTGGTGGCTTGGATGCCGGTGAGCTTCTTTCTTAATTGGTTACGATACCCAATTTTTTGATTAAAATATATATTAAACCTAAATTCTTAAAAAAGATATGAGGAAAAAGAAATCGGGAGAAGAGGGCCGAGATTTGGAGAAGAGATCGGGAGAAGAGAGGCGGCTACTATTAAAAGAAGAGAGACAAAAGAAATATGAGGAAAAAAAGAAAATAATAACAACGTGAGTTATAGGGTTAGGTAAAGGGTATAAGGGTGAATTAAATTATTTATAATTAATTAAATAATATTTTGGATTTATCTTTAAAAAGGAAAAAAAATTGGACCTCTCTTAATTGGACAATGCATATGAGGGGTGTTTGTGAAATAATCCCTAATTTATTTACTAATTTAATTCTAAAAAATATCTAAGTAAAAATAAATTATGACATGTCATCAATTTACTTTGATAAAATAAATGGCTTAGGTAAATCAATTCTAATTCTTGAAACACATGTACAAGTAAAATTATTGAACTTGATCCTACTCAAATATATGACATTAAAATTGAGAAGAAGAAAAAAATGAATTCTTAATGAAATGATAAATTTGAGGGATATCATATTTTTTCTCGTTAATGTAAATAATATAATTCAAATCAAAACTTACAAAAATAGGGGAACTCCCTATAATTTTTCTGCCACAAACTACCAAAAAAAACTCCGTTACTTTTTTTGTCTTTTTCAATTATCTAGGTGGTTGGAAAGAGGGGCATTTGTGAAAATAGCTTCGTCAAATATATTCAGATTTGTCACTGAATGAATAAGCTCTATAAATTAACATGAATCGGTCAGCACAAGTTGGCTCCATTCAGGTGGTTGAATCAAACATGCTGAATTATAAATTACTGACCGAATAAGATATTTAGGTCCATTAAGAGCTAATTCAGAGCAATCAAACAAGACCTAATCTAATAGGACGTAAAGATACATCCGGTATAAAGGGTTATCAAACACCCTTAGGAAATAGCAACTACCAATTCCAGAAAAAAAAAAAGGAATTTCTTTTTAAATTAATATTTAAAAATTATATTTGATATTTGTGATTGGAGTACATTAGTTTTATAAATAAAAAACATTAATCATTTTAAGTGTCAAACGAACATTTGATAATTCATCTTGACATTTGTGCATTGGCTTAACTAAAGTATAAGAAGTTCAATTAGCAAATTGCAGTCCTTGAAAACTTGATTGCTAACTAAAGTCTTCTAACTTTGCAAGTTGCAATTCGTGCGTAGCATCTCCAAAGGAGAATCGAGTAGAGTATTAAATCCCTTAACCACGACTTGGTTCCCCAATTTTAAAAATTTTATCCTCCAAAGGGTTATTAAAATGAAGTAGTATTTTGATACTCCTCTACTTGGGTAAAATACAATCTAAATAAAGGGGCTTACTATTCATAGTGCAATTTTTTCCGGTTACAGTGCGAAATAATTCATTTGTCAAAAAACCCTTTAACATTTTTCGAAATCCTCTCAACCTCCGAATTTTAAAACTTACCAAATCGTCAAATTTGTCCGATAGTATCATTTAGAACACAATAATTATCAAGAAGTATGAAACCTAAATCGATTTTGAGATTAAAAAATGTGTTTTTTGTCGATTTTCGACATTTTTATGAATTTCGTGTTATGTTGCACGAAATGAAACACTCCATTTCGTGCAATACAACACGAAACGCTTTATTTTTCAGAATTTTGTATTGTTTCGTGAAAATTTACACGAAATGCAAGCTTGCATTTCGTGTAAATTTACGTGAAATACAAGCTTGCATTTCGTGTAAATTTACAGGAAATGCAAGCTTGCATTTCGTGTAAATTTACAGGAAATGCAAGCTTGCATTTCGTGTAAATTTCCAGGAAATGCAACGTGAAATCACTATTTTTTTTAATTACTCCATTTTTAACACTCAAATAAATACAAGAGAATAACAACAAACTTAAAATGAAATTCAAATACTAAATAAACTAAAATTCAAATGTAAATACAAATTAAAATAAACCTATATTTCGTAAACTACATACCATACTTTAATATAATAACGATATACACAAATCCATAAGACATTGCATAGTATTCATAACAAAAAATATATATTGCAAAATCTACAACCAAACTACAAAAATTATATGGTTTACATGCTAAAATATAAAAAAAATTAATAGTAAACAGACCAATTTCTTTAAAACAATAAAGAAAAAAGTTAAGTATTAAAAGTGTATGATTTATGGTCATTTAATTTGTAATATTCATCAATGTAATTATTATTATTATTATTATTATTCTTATTATTATTATAAGATTTAGGATCGTATGTAACTAGTGTTTGTAATCAAAACCTATAATTTTAGCAAAATTTAGTTTTATTCTTAAAATATATGTTTTTATAGCAAATCGAATCCTAAATCTTATGAATCAAATTGTGAGATTCTTGTTCTTGTTCTTACATAAAAAAATCGTATTAAATAATGTGAAATCCCTTAAAAAAATGAAGTTATTAATACGATTTTTTGTTATGCAGGAACAAGAACAAGAATCTCACGATTAAAGTACGGTCCGTAGTTTACGAAATATTTATTTTGATTTGTATTTACATTTGAATTTCAGTCTACTTAGTATTTGAATTTCATTTTAAGTTTGTTGTTATTCTCTTGTATTTATTTGAGTGTTAAAAATGAAATAATTAAAAAAAAAAAAAAATAGTTGTTTCACGTTAATTTACACGAAATGCTCAAATAGCCTGTAAATTACCTTTTTTTTCAATTTTTTATTGAAAAAATATACACAAATATATTTATATATATTATTAATATTCCCAAAATAAATACGGAACTCTTTCTTGAATCGACAAAAAAAATTATTGATAAATACATTTACAATAATGAAAGAAAACAAGAAAGAATTAATAAAGAAAAGAAAAATTCAATTCCGTTTATTTCGACTATAAAAAAGCTACTATTAATTTTTTTTTTATTTTAGCATGTAAACCATATAATTTTTGTAGTTTGGTTGTAGATTTTGCAATATATATTTTTTGTTATGAATACTATGCAATGTCTTATGGATTTGTGTATATCGTTATTATATTAAAGTATGGTACGTAGTTTACGAAATATAGGTTTATTTTAATTTGTATTTACATTTGAATTTTAGTTTATTTAGTATTTGAATTTCATTTTAAGTTTGTTGTTATTCTCTTGTATTTATTTGAGTGTTAAAAATGGAGTAATTAAAAAAAATAGTGATTTCACGTTGCATTTCCTGGAAATTTACACGAAATGCAAGCTTGCATTTCCTGTAAATTTACACGAAATGCAAGCTTGTATTTCGTGTAAATTTACACGAAATTCAAGCTTGTATTTCGTGTAAATTTACACGAAATACATAAAAAACTAAAATACTATGGTTTCGTACATCGTAAAAAAACACTATTTCGTGCTTCTTTGCACGAAATGCTTCTATCCATTTCGTGTTAGGGAATACGAAATACTCATGCACGAAACACGGGTGGAAAAGGGTTTGAGAGAAATGTGGTTTTTTTCTTGAAAAATTACAAATGAAATAAAGTCGCACTGCAAGCCGGTAAAAGTTGTTCTATGAATAGCATTTCAGTAAATAAATAGTAGGTTATCAATTATTCTATGCTAGACCAGGTGAATGGTGCATTAGATGAATTTTTACAGATGATCATTTGCATAAACCACTCCATACAGCATAATATAAACTAGAAACAAAGATAGTAGTCGAATATATCCTTAAAAATAGGACCACTTTCAAATGTTGATAATGACTAAATTGTCCATACTAAATTGTCTTCACGGGGTTTCTTAACCATTTATTGGGATGTGGATCGGATTTTCACTTATATTGGGCCCAATAGTTGTAAACTGAGGTGTAATCATCGGAATCAAGCTAAGACCTATATATTCGGCCCATTGTCATAGCAGTTTTTTTATATATTCGGCCCACCAAGAAGAGAAGTTATGGCAAGTTTGTTTATTTCTTGCCCACCAAGTATCCTCACATATAAATAGGGAGTTATTCTCAACTTTTCACTTCTATGCTCTCTCTTACACATTACAATCGATTATCTCTGAATAAAAACTGACTTGATCGTCGGAGCTTCTACGCCGGAGAACCCCTTCAGCGTTGCAGGTACCCCTCCGGCAAAATCTCCGACAAGCTATCATCCAAAATATCTTCCAAGGAGGACACGTCATCATCTCGACCATTTTGGGGCAAATCAAATGTGAAAAAGTTCAATAGAATCCGATGTTCTACAAAATTTTCAACCATGAAAGACATTTTTACATTTATCTTAAAACTTACCTTGACGGCTACTTCAAAACCCTTTATAAATTTTAGGGTAAATTACAAACACCCCCTGAGGTATGGTTAAATTACAAAAACAACCCTCTTGTTTGGATAATTACAACGACCCCTCAACTCCTCAAATTTAGTGGAATCTTCGAGATTATATGGAATATTATCACTTTTGTACCCGTTTTATCTCATTCGAACTCTACATTATGAAACAAGATTATCATAATATGTGTTTTTTAGCTTGTATATATCAGTTTGTGGTGCATCGGAAACTATCTTTTTACACAAAATGAGTACAAACTAGAGCACATTCCACGGAATCTAGATGATTATGTTGAATTTGGCACCATAAGGGTGGAGGTGTAAGAAAAAATCATAGTTGAGGGGTAGATGTAATTATCGAAACAAGAGGGGGGTTTTTGTAATTTGACCATACCTCAGGGGGCATTTGTAATTTACCCTAAATTTTATATTTAGTTACAATGAATTTGAGTTCATTTTCTATCTAATCACAAGTTTAGGTACAAATTTGTTCAATATTATGCTGTTTAAGCTTAATTGTGCTTTGTACCTAGTCAACTTTCTTTTCTTGATGAAAAGATAAAAATTGAACTAATTTTATTATGATTGCTCTTACAGAATTTAAATGGATTACAAAATAATATTTAATTTTTTTTTTTATATTTGAGGTTGGAGTGCACTAGCTTTTAGCTTTATAGAGGTATTAAAACACTATCGAGCATTTGGTAACTCAATTTGATATCTTTTCATTGGAGTTGTTTTCATATTTTATGTTAAAAAAATTATAGCAAAAAGGAGAGAAAAAATATTTGGCACTCGTACATAAATGTAAACTTGTTTTCGAAATATATGAAATATATGAAAGGCGGAATCCCTTGCCTCCAGGGCCCTCATGCCATATTTATAGCTGAAATTCCAAGAATGTTGCTGCCAGAATTCGATCTTAGGATCTTGGACGAACTTACCACCCCGAAACCAGTTGAACTATACTCGTGCGGGCATACTTACAAAAACTGTGAGGATTGAGGAGTGTCACAATGTCTTAACGATTGTTGTTGAAACATGAGAAATGTTACTCAAACAAGCAATATAAAGATATGTATTACATCAACAAATTAAAACAAAAAAATTAATTGAAGAACACATGATTCATATAATAAAAATAAAAAAGATTATGTTAAATGTTGCTGCCCAGGATCGAACTGGAGACCTTTAGTGTGTAAGACTAACGTGATAACCACTACACCACAGCAACTTGAGTGATTATCTAATAAATAGTTATATTAATATCTATTAAACAAAGTGAACAGGTGGAGCTGCGTAAGCTTCGCGTAGACCGACAAAATACAAAGTTGTGAAAGATGTAATTGACCTCTGTTTCTTCATTCATTGCTTCTCCTCCAATCCAATTCAATTCAATTCAAACCCCTGACTCTAATTTTCTGGAGTTAGGGTTTTATTTCTTTTTCCCCATAATCGTTCTTCAATCAATCGCCAATTCATTCATTCTCCAGTTTCTGAATTTCAGAACCAAAAAGACAAATAAAAAAGTAATTGAGAATGGGTCGAATGGCACGAAGTTGCATTCAATCGCTGCTAAAATTGGTGAATTCAGGGTTAGGAATGGTCGGCGTTGCCATGATTGTCTACTCTCTCTGGATGCTTAGGGTATGGCTCCGCGATCAAGATTCTGTCCAACCCCCCATTCCTTGGTAATAATCCATCCTTTTTCCCCTTTTCTCTCTCTCTCTCTCTAGAAATTATTTGTAATTAATTTATTGGAAATTGGACATTGATGCAGGTTCGTGTACACCACTCTCGGCCTTGGGGTTACTTTGTGTGTGATCACATGCTCGGGCCACGTCGCTGCTGAGACTGTTAATGGTTGTTGCTTGTACATCGTATCCTTAATATCTGTTTTCTTCGTTTTAATTGACAATCGTCATTCCAAATCTTATGTTCTTGAACGCAAGCTTTTGATTTCTTTGCTAGGTTAACTTGATTTTCGTTTTTTTTCTGGATATTTGAATTATGTTTTTAATTTTCTCTCTGAAGCATGATAACTAACCATATAACTTGGGATGTAGCTTTGTGTTCGGGTCTGTAGTTGACCTTTTCATCTTCCAACTTCTTCGACAAACCAGAAATTGTAGCTCTTTGTTTGTCAGATTTGAAGCTGATAGTGTGTTTATGATTTTTTTCTTGTATGCTCATAATACAGATAGAGATGCTCTGGCCTCTGGCTTTAGTGCCTAGTATAGAAAAATTGATGTTGTACGGTTATACCTTTTTTGTCAGCGCACAAATTTCACTTGTTTGTTGAGCTTAACTAGAGCGTAGTACATGGTCTTTGTGTTTATGATTTTTGTGCTGGAAGCTGCAGTTACTGCAGATGTATTCTTAAACCACAGCTGGCAGGAGGTACTTGCACTAATATGCTCCTTTTCGTTTCGTCTGAATTTTGAAAACGCTCATATTTTAACAACTTTGCTCTATATCAGGACTTCCCTGCGGATCCATCTGGAAATCTTGATCATTTAAAGGACTTTATCAAAGACAACTTTGACATATGCAAATGGATTGGCTTGATGGTGTTGGCTTTACAGGTTTCTTTCCTTCTTTTGCCAACACATTTCTCTATTTTCCCTCTGTTTCTCTCTCAATCACACACACATAATGCTTCCATTTTACTCTATTTGTGTGGTAATTTTCTTTTAAATGGAACATTTGTGATCCACTAAAACACACACGTATATTAGGTGTGTGTATATTGTATATATATTATGTGCGCGTGTGTATTCGATATGAGATCACCCCACCTCAGAAATTAGATATTCATTATTATCATCTGAGCTGAATATAAAGAACAAACTTGAATTTACAAGTTAGAAACAGAAACTTGAAAAGATAAATCTGTAAAATGAAGGCACCGACTGTCAACAAAATGAACCTTTAGAGGTTATAGTAATGTCTTTGAAATTCATGCCCTTGTAATAACTGAGATATGTTCTTATGAAAGAAGTCATGCTTAACACTTCCACAACAATCTGTTAGGTTTTCTTATTGTCGTACTGGTTTTTGCATGCAGGCACTAAGTATGTTGTTGGCTATGATTCTCAAAGCTTTAGGACCACATCCTGAGAGATACTATGAAAGTGATGATGAATATCTTCCAGATAGGGTTCCTCTGCTGAAGAATTATGTTCCCCCACAAACCTATGTTACTGAACCGGCCTATGCCGTGAAAAATGATGCTTGGAATATAAGAATCAATAGTAAAGTAAGTTCGTTTTAACTCACCTTTTTTAGTAAATTGTGCTTTTGATGTTACATATGACAATAGCCTGTGTTATGATCTTCGCATCCTCTTTCTGATCTAATTTTCTAAAGTATTTCAGACTTTAGTTGCTTTTAATTGAAGGATTCTATTTGAGGGAAGGATATTGGGTGTTGAGGATTAAGGATTTTACTCCGATACTAAGTGGATAGAAACATACTTATTATTGATGGAAAATACGAGTCAAAAGCCAAAACGGTTGCTAAAAAAATGGACGTGCAATGTGCATTGCAGAAAGTTCAAGTGTTGGGAATTTTCTGTTATGGATTAAAGATTCTTAGTTGGCGCTGATAGATTAAACTCATCTCTAAGTTTGTCACTCTTATCCCTTTCTCAAATGTATGATCGGTAACGGTTTCATTTTCTTTTTACTGTTGCTCCAAATGAATCTATGTTTGTTAAGCTTTTCAAAATTTCTTTCCTTCAAACATGATTTGACTGCCGCACTAAATTGAAACAAATATCACTTTTATTTTTCAAGTTCTTCTAAATTACCTTTTCTCCAACACCTTTTCGACATGATTTGACTACTTTTATTTCTGTCCCCTCTCAAAAAATAAACAGACATTACTTCCATTCTCAAATTCTTCCCTTTCGCCAAAGCGAAATGGATATAAGCCCCAAAATGCAACCAAACACTGATAACTTCATTGCTTTTTCCATAATTATAAACATCTCTTGAGTTTACTTACCATGTTTAGACAGGGTTTGTTAACGGTGATGTTGAGTGTGTTCGAGATATCCCATGAATGGACCCTACCTACTGTTATACTTGTGATGGTTTTGTGTCATTTCCTTTATGATTTTCGGACAACAAATGTTTCATTGCTTAACCAAAACCAAATATTTTATGGACTTGTTTTCCTTTTGTTATCCAGGCAAGCAGGTAAACTAGATTTGTTTTGGCAATGAAGTGCGTGTAGACGAATAGCTGGGAAAGAGGTTATTTTCACTTCAGACATCAGCTCTACAAGTACGTGGTTGTCAATGGAGCTTCAATTCTTGGTTTCCCATCAGCATGTGCATATACTACTCTGTAAATGCTTCATTTTAATTTTTACTTGCATTTAAGTTAGATAAACTTGTAATATTATGTCTATGTGGTAATTCAAAAGGTATTGAACCAAAGGAATCTTCAAGTGTTCAAAGCAGTTCTTTACTGGTTTGATTTGCAACGTACTTCTTATGCAGGCACAAAATAAAAAATAAAAAATGGTGGATATCTTTCAATGCAATTTATCATTGTACACGCCTGTGTTATTAAGAGAGTTGGTACTAGGATTGGTTTGTAGAGCCAAATTTAGGGTTCAAATTCGGGTCATCTTTAGGTAGTTCCTGGTATTTTCTTGTGCGTGTCGAAATAGAGGAATGCATTAGTAGCGTAGTTGCATGCGCTTTAAGAATTTAAGTTGGATTGAAATTCGATTTCAATTGTCACTAGGCAATAGAATTTTACAAGTTATCGTTTAACGTATGTCTAAAGAATACATTCATAGTTACGAATTATAGCGCATATATTTGCGGACACTTGTCTTTTTTTCATATGGAGCTGTTCCTTGTATTATAGGCTGCAAAGTAGCGTCACCCTTTTTTTTCTCTCTCCTATTTTCGCCTGCTTTTCGTAATTACGGCCATGTTTGGTGTTTATTTTTGTGTGTTTTTAACGATCTTTTCTTTCCACTTTTTCTTGGGCATGTTTAATTTACAAACGTCGTGTCTTGTATTTTGCCCAGAGGAGAAAGGGCTCCCTCTTTTCTTCGTTTTGCCTGTTTACCGAATCATGAGCGCTCTTATAATAATGATATAATTTTGGTTGAATTTGAAAAATCCTCTCATATATAGTCCAGGTGACAAAATAACGTCTTCGTTTATTTATTATTTATATATATGAAATCGAGAGTGAATGATGTAGTGATAAATTGCGCCAAGGTGAAGGACTTCTTTGCCTGAGGCAGCCGTTGTTTCAATGTTTTTGGCACCGTTCACATTGCTTGTACAATAATAATGTCAGAAATATATATATATATATATATATATATATATATATATATATTCACCGCGTTGAATATATTATATTATATTATTTTTGACCTTTGGTACATCAAACAAACTGCCACAAAACAGTGACTGCATTTATTGTATGTACTTTATGCATTGATGATGGTCACGACTATGACTATTCACCATAATGTAAAATATTAACTACAACTCAATGAATTATTCCTAACAATCTTATAATTAGAAAATATTACTTTGAATATAGCTAAAGGTTTTACAAATATTAGAGCAACTCCAATGCGTTTATTAAATAGGATATTTGTAATCACCATTTGCACACTAAAAAGAAGAAATTTTAATTCCCGTGGAATTATCAAATGAAAGTTCTATTTTTATAATTCACCTCTTGAAATGCAAATATACTTGCTGACAATTAAGTTTTAAAAATGTAAATACCTAAAAATCCTCAATCACAAGATGACATGTGGTAATTACAAATAAAACTACACATAAACTCTCAATTTTGATAATTAATTTGATAATCATTGCTGAAGTAGATGAATTTTAAAACAATCAAAATATTATCTCAAATATAAAATGAGTATTTAATAATTTAATTTTTATGTCTAGCTTTTTAAGTCGTTGTATGTTTATTTTCAACCGCTCACATCTTATATACAAAAGTGACGTAGTACATGGGTTTTTTCCCGCTCAATATTTCACATTTTGGGGTTAAGACTTAAGATAGTTAATAACATTTTCGATATTTAAAGGTTTATTAATTATTTTAGTAAACTATGACCAAGGTATATACAAACAATTATTATATGGGACATTTGATATAGACCCTAAAAATATATAGAGATAAGTCCATCCCTAAAATTCTTTCTTTGAAATATCCCTGAATGGGTAAAAAAACAAGGGGTCTTAAGATATAAGTCACTGGTGACAAACCGTATTAGAACTAAATGACAAGTCTAATTAAAATTTGCTTCACATCCTTTATTAAATTTATTCCAAAAATGCCCACTCACAAATTCAAAATCACAGCAAATTATAAATATACTATGATGAACTATGGTATTATTTAACATTTTTAAGTTTGCATCTACCATTTTGTTAATTTTTCGTGGAACACGTTTTTTTTTCCCCATATTTTTTCATTATATAAAAATCTATTTTTCCCCTTTTCTACATAAAATTAAAAATTATGGTTTTTTTTTTTTTTTTTTTTTTTTTTTTTTCGTATTTTTTCATTATACAAAATCTATTTTTTCTAGATAAATTGAAAATTATGATTTTTTTTAAATTTGTTTTGCCGTAGACATCTACAGAAACCCATAGAAACCGTAGTAATCCGTAGTAAACCATAAACATCTTGAAACCCTAACTCCTTTCAACCCTAGCCGTCAGACACCATAGACACCCATAGACACTCATAGACATCTGTAGACATCTAAATCGAAAAATCTTGAATTTCCCACACCAAACCCTAGATCCGCTCCACCACGGAAATCCTAACTCCCTCTTTGAACCCTAGCCGCCAACAAGCCATATAGACAACAATAGACACCCACGAAAATCCATAGTCATCCAAAAATTAAACCCTAGATTTGCAACCACCATCGTCATAGCCGCCAACATAAAAACCTAGATTTGCAAAACCGTCAACATGGCCGCCACCACCAGCCCCCTTCATAATTGCGACCACCACCACCCGTAACCGCTTCCATAACTATCTCCACCATACCCACGACCTCCATGGCTGCCGCCATAACAATCCCCACCATACGCACCGCCTCTATAGCTGCGGCCATTTACCATGACCGCCTCCATAACAACCCCCACGTTACCCGCCGCCTCCATGGCCACCCCCACCGCCGCCATAGACACCATAGCCACCCACCATATAACTGTGAACAAGAGAGATCGAGACGGAGAGAGAGAAAGAACAACACACATGTAGAGAACAAGAGAAATAGAGAGAGTAAAAGAAAAGAAACATTGTCAGTAGAGAACGAGAAAAACGGGCGAAAGAAAATAGAGAGAATAAAATAAAAGAAACATATCTGGTTTGGAGAAACGTAAATAGAGTTTATATTTAGGGTATAAGGGCAAATCAGAGATTAAAAAAGAATTAGGGATGTGAGACATATTATATTTTAAAATATGGATGTATTTAAAAGATTAAGTTTGGGGTTGTCATTTAGTTATAATTAAATTTGCTACGGGGACCCAAACATATTAACCCCAAAAAACAATACTGCCCTTACATGCAATTTTTGCCCCAACTGCATTCAGCATTTCGACCAATTGCATTCAACATTTTTTTAAATAAGTTTTTTATTTAAAAAAATAAAATATAAATTTAATATTTTTTTCTGAATTTTTTTCGAAAAAGTTACTGTTTCAAATATGACTATATATGATTATATATGACTATAGTCGACGATAGTCATATTCTTGCTTTATACTAATGTTTTTTACATTTTCAACTTAAAATTGTATATTTTCGATTATACAGTTTAATATAGAGGGTGTTTGACTAAGCTTATTTAAACAGCTGATAATCTCTTACGTCTGAGAAGATGTTTTAAGAGCTGATAAGATGTTTTAAGAGCTGATAAACTATTACATCTTATTTTTATGATTAATTTTTTGAGTGTTTGGATATCTTATAAGTTTTTTCCTATTTATACTTTTTATAAGATCTTAAATAAAAACGTGGGGTAGATGTATTTTTTTTAAAAGATCTTATTTGCTCTCCAACAACTTATTTAAAAAAATACGATATTTTAAAAAAAATTAACAAACACTTTGGAAGAGCTTATAAGCTCCTTTTAACATCTTATAAGCTTAGCCAAACACCCTCATAGTCATATTTGTCAAATGATATAAAAAAACGAGTATTATTTACGAAAAAATCCATCAACATCACTGTACATTAGAAAAAAAGCAACATATCATACGTACGACTTATATGACTACATATAACTACAACTGTCAACTACAGATGATTGATACATATGACTACTTGAACTTTTGCTTGTCCTCAAGCAAAAACTAGCAACTATCAAAGCAACGCTTTCAACAAATGCCTCTCATCACATAGATTAATGGTCAACTTCAAGTTTTCAGAATTTGCAATTATCATGACAATTCTTAAAAATTTACAAGCTCGTAATTCAAAGATACGTATTCACTCACCCTTGCCAAAAACCACAAACCATGCTATCGCTTCAAGTATCCCATATTTGTAAATAAAAAATGGAGAAAATTTATACTTACATAATAATATTCAACTCCAAAGACTCACCAAATTTCTTTACTCCGCTAGTATCAACTAATTGAGCTATTGGGATCATTGGGACTTTTTGGCTTTCAAAAGTTGGGCTTTTGGTACAAGGTAGAAAATATGGGTAAAAGTGGCTACTCTTCTCATTTCATCTCGCAATTAGTCACTAAGAGTTGCACTTGACGAAATTTTAAACTCTCGTTCTAGACTAGAGGTGTTTTCGCTAGGATTTAGCTTTTGGAATTATTGTTTCACCTCGAAGGACTTATAACCTAACTCGATTTGTTAAAAGTTCAAAAGTCTCCACTTTTGCTCTTAATATGATGGTTCGAGTTGGGATAATTTATCAAGAAATCTCCATCTAATCTACCAACTGTATTTTGGCTAAAAGAAAGAAAACCATTTCTTCAAGGCTCAATCAAGGTTCGAATGATAAAAATTTAAAGGTAGGCTTGAAAGGCTCAAACGGTTCAAAGATGGCCCAAATCACTTCCCAAATTGCTCAACAATTTAATATTTCACTTTGTAAATTCCTAAGGCAAATTCTAAAACCGAATAGCATATGATATAGCATAAATTAATTCCACGTTTTAAAACACAAAACTTTCAACCAAAGCAAGGCATAATTCGTGATTCCTAACAATGACTCCTTCCTACGACACTTTGAATCAAAAGCTCACCAAAATTCAATCACAATCAAGCAAGCAATTTCATCATTAAACATCAATCATCTTTCATCATCATGATTCATCGAAGCATTTATCTCAAATATTTTTTTTTCGAAAGCAATAAATAAACCAAAACAACTAAAAAAAATCCTAATGCATGCAAACTAACAATTTAAAAAGCACATAAATACAAACAATTTTTTTTCACCCCCAAACTTAAAAGTTACATGACCCTCAATGTAATT